GATGTTTTGGCATCTGGGTTTGGATGGATTATAGGTCTAGGTGCTTATATCTGTGATTGTCTTTGTTGGATAAGTGTTTTCTTTCTTGGTTTCTGTTCCCTTCCTTGTTTTCTGGCTGGATTAGCCTGTGATTGAGTAGAGGGTATCTGTCCAAGTTGGGTGTTAGACTTCTAATGGCCTGTAATGCCTCTGGTCCAGTAGGGGTTTGCTGCCAAAGTTGGAAACTGAAGTTGGGTGATGTACTTGACCAGGGGTCCTCTAAGATTCACAATGTTGGCCAGGCTTTTGATGTGGTAGGAGTTTTCTGCGTGGATTTCAGGGACTTGGCCTGGTCCCTGAGGTTTGAAATGCTGGCATGGCTTCTAGTGGAGTAGGAAGCTTCCATCAAGTGTGGGCCAAAATATGGCGATGAGGAACAGAGGGGGAGTTGGAGTCATGCTGGATGTTCATGGGTGGGATGGGGGTGGTTTTACCTGGGGTTCATGGCTCTAGTGAGGTAGAAGTGACTTTTAAATTTCTTATGGAAAACATTCATAAATATTTAATCACACTGGTAAATATTATAATTGACATGAGAGCTTTAACTACAAACATTAATGACTTCTTACTACAATGGAAAAATTACTGCAGGAATATGCACTGTGGATATGGAATAAGTATTATTTATAATCTCCTCATGTCCCTACATGGTCACATATGACCTCTTTTTCTTATATGGGTCAAACCTTGGTGTTCAAGTCTTAGAATCTCCGAAGTCAAGACAAATGAGTCTGTTCTTGAAAATTAAACACCTTCTAATTGGTAAATCCTAATTTCCACCATTTTGTTTCCCAGTTGTATTAGATTTTAAAACCTTAAAGGGTGATGCTAAACAACAATAAAACTATAAACACAAGACAACCCTAAAATAATCTGTGTTCATAGTCTCTAGGTGGCCTCAGTAGGATGAGGAAAGTATTGTCAAAACCCACTACTCAGTCCTAGCTAACTAAAATTATCATGAGAAATTTCCAAAAGCTTCCCTTTTTAGGATTAATTCCTTACATTTCATTGACAATTTACAGTTCACATGGTGCGTTCACATGAGGTTAAAAAATTTTGCACTAAATTCTGAAATTACAAAAGCTATGCAAATTATGGAGAGAATGGATGAAATGTAAATACCCCCTTTCATCTGTTATTTCATTCTGAGACACATGCTAAAATATTCTGATCTAATTGTGACTGCAGGCAAAATGTAGTCTTTTCCCTCTGGGTCATTAGAGTTAAACAACCCATGTCTACATCAGTTCGTCTGGTGAAGACAGTCTGAAAATGGCTTCTGTTCTTCCAACCACAGTTTGCCTTAGGTTGAATTGTTAATGACTTGGTTTGTCTAGAAACTGTTTTAAAGCATCTAGATGCATGGCAACAGGCTACAAGTCACAGCAGGTCTATTTTATTAAAAACAGTCATATTTGCAACAATTTTCAAGTTACAAATTATGGTGAAGATGCCACAGAGATATACTTGGTGTTCTGCATGAAACTGGTTTGTCAGCATTGGCATCTGAAATTCGTCTGCAGTATTTGTCACAATGAAATAATGAAATAACTAAATTCAGCTAACATTCACTATGTTCCATACATATTTCAGATCTTCTAAGTTCTCTTTTAAATTCTGTCTCGGGCTCTCACTCAAGAAACTGTGCTACATTTAGCTGTCATGTCCCTTAGAGTCCTTTTAACTGTGACAGTTGCTCAGGCTTTCCCTGTGTTTTGACATAGTTTACAACTGTGAGAAGTACTGGTCATCTGTTTTAGGGACTGTCCTTCAAGAGAAGTGTGTTTAGTGTTTACCTCACTATTGCTTTAATGGTATGATGTGCAGGGAGGACAGTTCTAGAAATAAAGTAACATTTTTAACATCATAGCAAGAGAAATCACCTTTGGTCCCCTGGCTCAGGCTGTGTCCCCAACTTTCTCTACTGAGTAGTGGTTCTTCTTCTTACTCTACCCTTTGGAGGGAGTCAGCATGCTCAGCTAGTATTTACAGAATAGGAAATTATACTTCAACTCTTTCAAAGTGGATTATCTACATAAATTATTTAGTTTAATGGCTGCTTTAATTTTCAAATAGCCGGGAGTGTTTCACAATTGAAGCATATTACCAAAAGGAAAGAGAACTGGAGTGTGGGGAAGATTTATATGAGGAAGCCAAGGATACAGGAAGTGAAGGGTATATTTCCACCAAAGGTACTCAGCAAGGTTTCCATATCAATGAACCCTCATAACACCTGTTCCATCTGGCCTCACCCTGCCCAGCAGTTCATCCCGGAAAGTAAAGCACCTGATGTAGCGGTGAGTTTATGCTTCACCGCTTTGGCTCCAGGCAGATCTCACTCGTGCACATGCCCAGGAGCTATCTTTGAATCTGTGAATGAAAGATACACACACATTAGCTTATTTTTTAAAACATCTTGGCTACCTTAAAGGCTGGGCACTCCTAAACCTTACACTGCTACCTCAGGCCCAATCAGGAAAGTATCACATGGCTGGTTAGCTTTATTTTCTGCCACTCCTGCATCCCATCCTTCTATTCTAAGTCATGGTGATTCTGTCCTGCCCTATGTTCTCGCTCATGCTACTCTAAGTGTCCTGCCTTGTGCTTAGCCATTAGCCCTTGGAATTTTTATTGATCAATCAAAAATCAAATGAGGACAAGGACCTTCAGCAGGTCCTTGAAGAACAAGACTAAGGACTTGCACCATTTTGTTTCTGTCTACATGAAATTAATTGAGACAAGTCACATAGATAAGGAACTATGCCCTTAGTAAGTAAGTAGGACATGAGAATTTGCAATCAATGATATAAAATAAAGTTTACCTTGTATTAAAACATTCTCTTTTTTTTTCTTAAATCATCCTGCCTTGATCTTTTCACTTTTAGTTATTTATTTAATTCTTCTCCCTTCACTTTCAGTGTTGTCTGTAGAGTTTATGTAAAACTCAGATTCCCAGCCCTGGTTGTAATTTCTGTATTTGCTCTTACGTTGAATGCTTATCCAAGCTCAGATTCCTAGGTACCCCAATGGTTATTTCCAGCTTACCACCAAGTATTTCCATATTGCCATTTAAAATCACCTAAACATAGTTTTTGGTTCCATATTCCCCTGAAATCAATATTTCTTTACAATAAAAAGCTGTATTTCTGAGTTGAGTGAGTTATCTGGTAACGATGTAAATTTCAATCCAAGCCCCAATCAAAACTAGCTTCTTAAAACTTTGCCTAAGTTTCTAATACCACAGTATATCTAAAACAGGCAATGGTTTTAGAAGAAACAATAATGACAAGAAGAACCTTCTAGAGTCACCATTTCCACCCAGAAGTCATACAGGTCTATAAGCATCATGTTTGGACATTTGGTGGTGTATGATGTGGGTAGCTCTGGGTGCTTCCCTGCCCCCAGACATCAGGTCTAATCTAAGTATGTATTCTGAGGGATGGAAAATTTTAGCTTGATAACAAGGAAAGAGAACTTGACGTGGATAGCAGAAACAGAGTGAGCTGTTTAATTTTGTTGTTGTTTTTATTTAGGCCTCTTTTCTGTCCTAAAAGACCTTACTCTCTATTATTTAAGTTACTCATTCAAAGCCTCTTCACTCAAGGCTCATCCCAAACCATCGTCTCTTCATACACTCTCTCTAGACTGGCAAGTGGTATCAATCCCTCTCAATATATGTAGCACATTTCTAGCCTCCCTCCAACTATTATCTTTAAGATAGAGACAGGGCATACTGACTTAAAACTGCGAGCATGAAATAGAACTCTGAGCTTGTAATCAGTGTATACTAAGTCACCAGCCTTCTATTCAATCATAGATGCTCAAATTCTAATCTGAACACATTAATTATGGTTAGGGTTCTAAACCAGATTGATCATCTTATGAATGCAACCCTTAAACAGTGAGTTCACGTATCGAAGTTTCTGATTTTAATGAAAGCTTGAAGAAAGTCGTAGAATTTACAGACACTTGGCATCCAGGCTTACATCTTCCAGCATAGCAGAGACCCATTATAATCATTATGAAACTCCTGCAATATGTTAAATCTGCAGCTAAAGGTAACAGTTAGATCATTCGCAAGTGGTTCTGTCATCAATTCCTCGTGTCTGAGAACTATAGAAATGAAAGTCAGCCAGTGACTTGGATCAGTGATGTGGAGGCTTATGTGTAACCCTGGAGAACTATCGTCCTAGTTTGTATTCAAGTCTGCCTGTTGTCATAGTTACTGATGTACTCGAAGTGATTTCCCTTCTGAATCACAACCTGTAAACCTTCAGTGAAAATAAGCTGCTCTTCCTGCCTTATTTATTTATTTATTTATTTATTTATTTATTTATTTATTTATTTTTGCTACCTATGAGTCAGATCTAAAAGCATAGCAACAATATTATGGATGTTTTATACTCTCTACAAGGTTCTAGCATAGATAAGGAATAAACGGTACGTAATCCAAATAAGGATCCCTGACTGAGGTTTCACTCCATTTGTTCAGTAAAGATTCATTGAGCACCTGGGTACTGAAGATACTACCTAGGTTTGTAGCACAGCTCCTGCCCTGTGGATATAGGAGCATGTTTTTAGTTTGTTTTCTGTTTTTGTTTTTTTTGGTGTGTGTGTTGCGTGCACATTCCTGCATGTCAGATATCTTTCCACAAGGCGTATACAGTGATGGAGAGGGAGCAGAATACAGAGAGCTATAGAATGCAAAAGAATGACATCTCATTAAATCTAAGGTGCTGTTGTGACCAGATTAAAGGAAGCACCAATCCTGGCCATCTTGAAGCATTGTTTTTGAAGGTTGAGCAATAGTATTGTCATTTGTTCTGCACCGAGAACCTTAGTATGACCTTGCATGAAGGATTCCTGGGGCAGCAGGGTAAGGAGAGCAGAGACACTGCACACAGTGTGCCATCTGTCAGCTGTCGAGACTCACGTTCTCCTTTCTGTCCTGGCTGCAGGAACTCCTTCACAGACATCCTCCGTGCCATTCTCCTGTCCTTGGAAGTCCTCATTGAAGATCCCGAGCTCCAGATAAACGGTTTCATTTTAATTATAGACTGGAGTAATTTTTCCTTCAAGCAAGCCTCCAAGCTAACACCTTCCATTCTGAAACTGGCCATCGAAGGGCTGCAGGTACGTTCAACAACTATGCAATGCAGATGTTCCTGACTGTACGTTTACCTGATTATTGCAACCAAAGTCTTATCTGTCCTTTGGAGTGGAATAAGGGAACGTGAGTACAACTCACCCAGGCGTGCTCCGTATTTTCACTTCAGCCTGAGCTTAAATGTTTGTTGTTTTTTCTTCATTAGCCTTCATTTTCATTAACAATATTAAATTGTTGTTACTCCAGGCACAAATTACCTGCCAGAGCAATAATGACTAAAGTCTGGAGATGTTTGGCTAAGTCCCAGAGTTCACAAAATGACAACTAGGAAGCAACTGGTTTATTATTCTTCCCCACAATGATGGCATGGGGGCTGGGTCTCCGGGAGAATTTTTGAGCCTCAGAAATGCGCTCTTTGGAGCTTTACTTCTGAAAGCCCTCTATGCTCAAGAATTCATATGAAAGTAGATTGCTTCCCTGTGAAGAAAGGAAGTCGATGAAGCTCAGCAGGCAGTTGCCAGAATGGGCCCTTTGAGGAAAAGATTTTTGTGTTTCGGGCAATTTTCTAGGACCTTCTGCAGCCCTCTCATCTCTCAGAGCAGTGGACCTTTTAGGGGTCAGTGGTTCTATGAACAGTAGCTAACTCAGAAATGTTGCTTGGTATCCTGAGGTGACACATGTTCAAATACAGAATTAAAGGAATGCTTTGGAGGCATTAAAAATCAGCAGAGGTAAAGTTCACATCCCTTCTTAATCTGATAGAAATATTTAATCAAGGGGGTGACCAGTTCCTTAATGTGTAGCCACACACCAAAACATGGACAGTGAATACTCATGCTCATCTGAACTGGAGTCCCACCACCCACAATATCTGTGCATCACAAGGGACGGCGGATGGTTCCATTTCTTAAGCTGTGGCTTGCTCTCTCACCGGCCTCTGAGGAACATATGCCTATTGAATGGATATTATGACATTAAATTAACATGGTTTCCTGTTTCCCAGAGGAGTAGAACTGACATTTCAGAAGAGTAACATTCCATTCACATGGTTCCAGGAACATTAAACTGTCCTTGTGAATTGTGGGTGCAGCTTCGTTCCTTTCGTATGTACAAACGGCTCAGCTTAACCTAACAGACTTCACATTCTTGACCATCAGTTGCCCTGCCTGTAAGACTTTTCCTTATCTCCTCTATTCTCAGTCCTTGAATATAGCTTCTCTCTCTAACCTTTTGTTAAGAGAGATTTTAAACTTCTCATTCTCATAATTAGATTGACCATTATTTCTAGGAATTTCTTCACAGGCTTCTGTATTTTATTTTTAAAAGATGATTTTTAAATATTTAAGTTGCTACGGATTAACTTATGTTCCTTTATATTTTTTTCCAGAAAAAAAAGCCCTTTAGTCAACTCTATGTTCCAATTTTTGTTTCTGAAGCATGTGTGGATTATATAACAGGCCATTGCTAACGTTGCTAAGCAGATGCAGGTCTTCCTGCATTAATGCAGTGAGTGTGTTTTAAAGGTGAAGCTATGTACACAGCTGAGCTGTTGTTACAGAAAATACCATATGGACCATGGTAGGTGAGGATGAGTCCCACTTAGGCCTTCATGTTCCATGTGTTGAGGTCCAAGGTGAATTCCACACTGTCCTGCTGTTTCAGTTAAGGGGTAGCCTCTCCTGGGATGACTGAAAGTTTGTGAGACCAGAGTCGGGGTGGGAGGAATGTGCTTCCCTGATCTCCAGAGCAGTGGGCTTCCTTTTACGGAGCTGCTCTGATTGTGAGAAAGCTTCAGACCATTCTGTATTCTAACTATATAAATTCTGGTATAGCTCTGTCTCTTCAGGCCTCAGGATCCTTAGAAAGTGATAGACACCCTCTTCATGGGGCAGGAAAACCATGGCCAAAAGGAAGTTAGGATAAGGTATCTTCCTAATACTGAGACCCTTTCATGCAGTTAGATCCTTGTGTTGTGGTGAGTCCCAACCAAGAAATTATTTTTGGTTGCTACTTCATAACTGTAATTTTGTTTTGAATTGTAATGTAAGTATATGATATGTGACCCCAAAATGGGTCATGATCCACAGGCTGAGAACTGCTCATCTAGGATATGGATTGTCCAGTTCTGTGCTACTTTGAACATGAAGAAGTTACTGAAACCACAGAAAAATCTGCTCTTTCCCTACGGTAGCCATTCTATCACTCAATCACGTTTCATACCAGACTCTCCTCTCTCTGACTTTGGGATCATTGAGATACTGATACTGCTATCTCTTCTAGGGATTTTTCTTTATCATGGTGGTTATCCTCATCTCTAGGTGACTATGAACCCTTCTGATACCTTGTAAAGGTTATAACTAGGACCAAACAGAATTCATTCATTTTTTAGTCAATGGTGGTATACAGTGACAATTCTACCTAGACCTCTAATTGTTCCCTACAGTTGCTCAAGAAAGAAATTACATAATAGTGTTATAGTGGAGACAAGAAAAGCTACAGAAGACCACAAACGACAACAGAAGAGAAGCCACATGCTGTCGTCTTTCCATTCACCTTGAAAGATGCTTGAAGAGGTCCAGATATCTGCTGGACACTCAGGAGACTGTAGGGGGGAAGCCTCTGTTCTAACATACAAAACTTACACTGTCTGGTCTCTTGTCTCTTGGCCAGGTTGAGAAATGGCCTTCTCAGTGGAATCTCTAGACCCCTGTTGTGCTTGACCATCTGGTTTGAGATTTCAGCTGTTTACAAAATGAATCTAGAATTTCCTCCTGCTCTACCTCTGGAGAGTTTAGGGCCCTGGCATGTGATGCCATTCCTACACACATAGGTAATGAATGCAGTAATTCCAATAGAAAGAAAAACTGAGGTAGCTCAGATAATTCACTCTTGAGGCTGTGAGAACTTGTCATCAGTTTTGTCAGTCCTGTATCTTATATTCCAACCTGGTTTAAGAGGCCTGGGGTTTTGTTTTGTTAAATTCTCTATAAAGAGACATTTAAAAAGATTGTTGGTTATTCCAGGTTTGGTTCTTCTGGTATGAACGGCTATGATGTGGTGCTTATCATGAAGGGAAGTCATGAGACAATGCTCTTTGGTTAGCACACGAAAAGGAAGCTGTGGGTCTTATAGCAGGATGCAGTTACTTTTGTTGAAGTTCTCAGCTGTTCTGAACCTGCATGACCCCTTACATTGGACTCAAGGACCTAGATATTAATATTCCTGTATTATCTACTTACTGTGTGCCTGATACAGGGCTGAGAACCTAGTATCTCCATTCTGAGGCTGAGAGGCAGCTGAAATCAGAAGCCATTCTTGAGGTACCTGTCTCAGTGTCCAGATGTGGGCAGAATATCTGAAGCAATAAGCGAAATGACCTTTGGAATATCCTGCAGTAGGACACCAAGGAGTGCTGTTTATTCTGTATCTTTTACTTGGTTACATCAAATCCCAAATATGCCATAGTGTAGGTGGTACTACATAGTTTAGAAGTAACGGAACTGGGCAACTTGATGTCAGTGTTTGAGGAATGGGGATTTAGTTGTATTTTTTTTTTTTTTTTTGGTTTTTCGAGACAGGGTTTCTCTTTATAGTCCAGGCTGTCCTGGAACTCACTCTGTAGACCAGGCTGGCCTTGAACTCAGAAATCCGCCTGGCTCTGCCTCCCAAGTGCTGGGATTAAAGGCATGCGCCACCACCGCCCGGCTCTTTAGTTGTATTTCTATACATCAGAAAGTAATTAATTTGTCTCTGGATATAATTCAAAATCCAGTATATGCATAAGACTTTTGTTATGTGCTTCATAGATGAATTAATTATGGTAATCATACAGAATATTTTGCTTTAAATGTTTTCACATTTGGGGTGTGTGTGTGTGTGTGTGTGTGTATGTGTATGTGTATGTGTTGCATTTACCACAACAAGAGGATAACTTGTGGGAATTATTTCCCTTCTACTGTGTAGGTCCTGGAGCTCAAACTCAGGTCACAAAGCTTAGCAGGAAGCATCTTTATCCACCGAGACATCTTGACACCCAAAGACTGTTTAGAGAATCATCATGTTCTCCCATCAGAAGTTACCATGCCTAAGCTCATCACAGGATGTCTGTAAAACTCTACAGCACACTCTTCTTCTAAGAGACACCTTCAAGAGAGCATGTTGTTGAAGCCCCACATTGTTCTAGTTTACTTAACTATTCTGTGACTATTTCTCAAAGAATTTTAGTTAAAACACAATTTTCTTTAGAAATCATTTCTTCTTTCTCTGATCTTTTTTTTCTTTTACTGAAAAATTTATAGTTTCTCCCTGCTCAAATAATTCCAGATCCTTCCTACCTCCCCACCCACTAACTCCATGTTTTCTCTCTTTGCTTGCCCTGATCTCTAAACATGGTCAATCCTGTCTATGACTCTAAAACAACCATTGCATCCGTTCATTAGAACCTCTTTACATTTTAATGAAATTCAAAGTAATTTGCATGTGACCATTTTCACACATCACAGCATGACTCTTAGTGACTTTGGGAATTCTGGTAGAAGAAGTCACACATCAACGTCCTGCTTCTGAGCTTTGTAATATTTTCAGAATCAAGTTTTGAAATTCTTTCTTGTCGATCACTGCAGCATAAGTCTTACAATCAACACCTGGCTTTTCTCAATATGTAGCCAACTCAGGTATTCAGAAAGCTCACAGTATTTTGTTGATGGAGGGGAATAGAGCATTATTTACAAAATGTCTTATCTTGCATTAAAAAATTTGTTGTGGATTTAGACAATCCTGTTCTTCAATCAATAGAAGAATCCCAAGAAATGTTTGGCTTTTTGTTCCATTTTGTTTTTTCTTTTTTTCCTCTCATTTTCATGTTCATATCATTATTTCTCACCAATCTTGAAAGTTTATCACATCATTATCTCTTTGCTGAAAATGTATTGTGGGACTCCTTCTTTTAATAAAGATGTTTTCATAGTATTCAGTCAGCTTTGAATCAATTTTTTCAGACAGATTTGAGCCAGATTAGTGGGAGAGA